GCTACAGAGAAAGAAGTTGGACAAGCAGTTTGTCAAGTTTGTGGAGATTTTCAAGAAACTGCACATCAATATTCCATTAACAAATGCAATTGCCCAAATGCCCAGCTATGCTAAATTCTTGAAGGAGATCCTGTCTAACAAAAGAAAGCTGGAAGAACATGAGATAGTCTGCCTGAACGAGGAGTGCAGTGCAATTCTATTGAAAAAGCTATCTCCTAAACTAAAAGACCTAGGGAGTTTCACGATATCTTGCACAATTAGTTCTAATTATTTTGAACATTCTTTATGCGATTTAGGTGCCAGTGTTAATTTAATGCCTCTCTCTATTTACATGTCTCTTGGATTGGGAAAAGCAAAATCTACAACAATCTCATTGCAACTGGTTGACAGATCAATCAAACGATCCAAGGGGATTATTGAAGATGTGCTAGTCAAAGTTGATAAATTCATTTTTCCAACTGACTTCATCGTTTTGGACATGGAGGAGGATTCAAACATCCCTCTAATCTTGGAAAGACCCTTCTTGGCTACTGGAAGAGCGCTAATTAATGTTTACGATGGAAAGATGATTCTTCAGGTGGACAATGAGCAAATCATATTCAACATGCTCAAAACGATGAAACATCCATTGACATCAGACACTTGTTGCCAAGTAGATGTTCTTGAAGAACTTGTGGTAAATACATTTGAAACAGAGCATCAGACAGTTCTTTGTGAAGTAGAAATTGCACAATCGGGAGCAAGAAGTGCAGAAAAAACTGAATGTGTTATCAACTTGGCCAAGCAACCAATAGGAAGAAGACATTGGCAATATGAATATCTTGGTGACAACCCTTCACCCCCAGTACCTTCAGTAGAAAAGGCACCCACTCTTAAACTAAAGCCCTTGCCTTTACACTCCGTTATACATATTTGGGAGAATCTACAACACTTTCGGTAATCATTGCAAATGACATGATAATGGAAGAGGAGAATAAATTGTTGGAGGTACTCAAGCAGTACAAAATGGCTATTGGATGGACAATAGCTGACATCAGAGGAATAAGTCCAACTCTTTGCATGCACAAGATTTTAATGGATGACGGGTCAAAGCCATCAGTGGAAGGACAA